TTTTATTATTATTTTTTTTCCCTAATTTTGTTGGCAAGATTTCTCAGAGATGGCTGTTCTATTGCTTGAAATTTTCAAAATGAAGAGAACCTAAATACGCTCAGACAATTTTTTTTATTTTTTCAAAATTCACTTAAGATGCAAATATGTTTTTACAATACAAATGAAAGCTATTTTTCAAAATAATAAAAAAAAGAATTTGTCTGAGTCATATCTCAAATAAACGATAGGAGATTAAAACACCAAACTCATATGAGTAATAATACAAAAATTAGGCGAGCCCATTTGGGTACAAAATAGAAACCTACAATTACATGTACAGGAAGTGATCGAGGAAAACGAAAATTTCAACTTTTCTTTTTTGAAATCTTTTTTGCATCACACTATAGCAAATTTGTAGAGAAATATGTCAGTCCCACCGGAAACAAAAACGACAACTTCCAGTTATAATGAGAAAAACTGCATATTTTCAGTATTTTTCTTTCCCATAAATATTTTTTATACATAAAGTATTTGTAATAAATTTTAGATATTTCATTGAGACTGCAAATGTCTATATAACTCAAATATATTTGTAAAATTCATATTGTCGCGTGATTTCCTGTCCTCAAAATGAGAAGTTATCACAGCTAGATCTCGTAAACGGTAAGAGATGAAGATACCAATCTTATATAAGTGGTAGATCTTGATGAGTAGACAAAACCAGTTGCGATAAATTTGTTGTTTGAAACTTCCAGTCGTCACAGGAAGTGATCAAAGAAATCGAAAAATTCAACTTTTCTTTTATGAAACTGTTTCTCCATTACATTATATATATATATTTGTAGTTTCAAATTATATCCGTACTACCAGAAACAAAAACGACAACTTCCGGTTATAAGAGAAAAACTACATAATTTGAGTATTTTTCATTCCCATAAATATTTTTTATTGATAAAGTATTTGTAATGATTTTTAGATATTTTTTATTTAAACTGCGTATGTCTACAGTTAAGTCAAATATCTTTGTAAAATTACATTTGGGTATCAGATTCCTGACAAAAAATACTTATATTTTATTTGTAAACCAAGAGCAATGACCAACCAAACTTAAAGGAATGGTAAATCTTGAGTTAGCAAATCCATTTAAGTTAAGTTTGTCTGCCGTCACTTCCGCTTGTCACAAGAAGTGGTAAAATAAATCAAATAATTTCAACTTTTTTATATGGAATCTTTTTTAGCATTACATTTTAGCATGTTATTTACATAGTAATGAGAAATACAGGTGACTCTCGATGGATCAAATTATTTTTAAAAAGTTGTAATATCTCTCGAAGTTAAATTCATGGCTGTAATTTTTGGGATATATAATAGCAGTATTTACTCCATTGATCTCTCAAACTTCTACCTCTCAATTTCCTATCTCTCGAATAAATTTATTTTGTTTCCCGTTACATATATTTCATTGAATTTTACTCTCTATCTCTCGAAGTTTTGATTGCGCATGTATACACGCCAATCAAGCGTAAGATCGATGCAGCCAGGACTTACCTGGAAAACAGTGAATGCCTGGGGCTGTCATGGAGGTGTCAATTGGGTGTTTACATAGATGACACTACACCTTTTCCGTGTGTTGATATAATTAATTGGTTATTATATTGGTAAATTATAAACATATATATATATATATATATATATATATATATATATATATATATATATATATATATATATATATATATATATATATAGGTTTATTAAGTTTCCAAAGACTGTGAATTTTTATTGGAGTCTACATAATCCCAGTATTGCAAATATTCCCAGAAATTCCTTTCTGAAGGAGTGTAAATACCGATTAAAAACATCTGGTGAACACTGGTGAAGGACCCGATCAAGCCGCAGAATAGCCAAACCAACAATTGCGATTCGGGTTACATGTAAATGAAAAATAACAAATAAATATTGAAACTTTAGAATTTCATTTTATTTAGTCGAAACATTTTGTTGATATCAAGTAATTTACCTGTAAAATACGATTGAAAAACATGAAATGACTTTATTTACATATACTTCCAGTATTTATAATAGTACAACATCGATGATCGTTTGAAAATTCCAGATTTTATTTACTTTCTATCTCTCGAAGTCGATCTCTGGAACTTTTCTTGCGGTCCCGGGAACTTCGAGAGATCGAGAGTCACCTGTATGTCAGTTAACCGGAATCAAAAACGACAACTTCCCTTATGAGAGAAAAACTGCATAAATTGTGTATCATACTATCCAATTAGATATCTTTGATAAAAAGGGTATTTGGAATGATTTTAGGACATTTTTTCAGACTACAAATTTCTAGAGTAACCTAAATATCGAGAAAAAAATTTACTTCCGGTCACGTGATTTCTTGTCCTCAAAATGAGAAGTTAACATTACATCCGCCGTCACTTCCGGTCGTCACAGGAAGTGATAAAAAAAAATTGAAATTGATTTTAATAAATGTTATTAAGAGTATAATTGTCTAAAGTAATGTCGAGAATCTTGGTAAGTTACACCTTCGGCTGTTTGTTTTTCTGTAATCATTGTAAATTATTACATGCCTTTTTTAACATGGATAAAAGATCATTAATACAGCATCCAAATAAAGGAGAACGGAAGACCGTTTTTGTTGCTGTAGCAACAAGAGATTCTGGCTTTATATAATTATTATACAAAATAGAGTTGCACACTTCTAGATTTTCTTTTAGTGCCTTTGGCGGAGACAAACTTCTGCTACTTCAAATAAAATGCTAAATGTCTTGGACATGTTTGGGTAGATAAGAACATTGATGAATGGTCACGATAATTACTGTATAAACACTGCCAACATAGCCAGAAATCAATTTAGTCAAATATTGTACACACCAAATATAGTACATTTACATTATTGGTTAAATACGGAGGATTTTGCCTTATTTAATGAATAACTGCTTAGAAATATTTAAAAATATACATGAAGTGATCAATGGATTGACTTGTAGTGATAATTTGCATAAACGCCGGTTAAGGCGTTCATGCCTAATATATATATATATATATACGTGTAGTAATAGTAAATAAAGATTCTGTTATTCCTTATATTTAAATTTTGATTCCGCCAATCCACAGGCATCCAAGCCTGTAGTCTCTAGGTGTTGTCCCGACCCTACACGTGGTTTTTTTTGGAAACCGTTACAAAACATTCATGAGGAAATAAATTGCATTTACAATTGGTAATTTTACCTCGGAGAAAAGACATTGGAAATGTAAATATTTACTTATAGACAACATTTGTTGAGGTGAGCTCTGTTACATGCAATATGTTTTTTAATGGAGAAAACATTTTGTCCATATAAAGATTTTCACAGAAAGATTTCCAATGCGCACAGAAATTGTGTAATGAATTAAGGTCTTTTTGGTGAGTTCAAGGTCACATTTACAAAATTTGAATGAAAATTTTTTTTTTTTGATAGCAGCGAGGATATTTTCTGAGCTTGCTCACAGTACCTATAATTTCAATAATTTACTCTGACGAGTATAATGAAAAGTTAATGAGTATAATTAACAGCTCTAACATAAACATATCACACCTTGTGTACATAACAAGTCCTTGTGTTAATTATAATTAAAACTCCTGGCAGCTATTTGTTTTCTTGATTACATATGAAGATGTAAATGACAACACAAAGATTAATAAACTGAAAAACATTTCTTTCTACTTGCGTGATAAATAGATGGAAATTACTAGAAGGGCAAAAATAGCCTGAGTAGGTGGAAATGGCTTAATTTAAGCATGCATATAATGAAATTGAGGCTGATTTTCATTTCCGGAATTTTTTGTAATTATCAGCTTTTCATTTCCGACATATTTTTGTTTTTCATTTCCGACATTTTTCAGATGGTACCTTTAGGAACAGATTCAAAGACTTAACCTATGAAAAATTTAAAAGGAATAAATCATAATAAACCATTGAAATCCATATTCTGAGTTTTTTTAAATCGATCAATGACTTGGACATAAGTTTGGTGCTGTCACTGACATTTAATTCAATGCACATTAAATGTGCATGGTGAAAACAGTTTTATGCTCAGTGGAATCTTTTACCTAGACTTAGTGCTACATGTATGTATTTATGTATAGATGGATTTTTATATATATTTTATCAGTATTTAGCAATAAATACTTTTAAAATTCCATTTCACTTTTGGAAAATTGCCTCACCGGTAAATACCTGAAATGAAAAAAAACTATGTTGGAAATGAAAACAAAAATATCGGAAATGAAATAAAAAATTGTCGGATATGCTCTGCATATTTCTGGAACTGAAATGCAGCGGAAATTGCCCACATAGTTATACAGGTATTTCATAATATCTGTCCTTAATACAAACTGATATAGAAATACAATAAATTAATCTATGAAGAATGTTTGAATAAGTTAAAAGAATTTAATTCAACATTTTCCCCCTCATATTTGTAATTTTATTTCATGGTGCTCTTAGTTAAGTTTAACACTAATAAAAGTTGGTGTTTCATGATGTGATGTAAGTGACATTCCCATTATACAAAGAGTTGAATGCGAGGTCAAAAACTGTAATCACTGCATCAGAAATCATTTCAGTTCTTGTTTTTTTTTGAAATTTGATTTTACAAGACCCTGATTTTTTTCTGCCTTTGATACTTATTTGATTCAGCAAGATAACATGAATTAGTTGGTGAATTACATTCAAGGTTCATCTGCAACAACATCAAAACTGTGCTCTTTGGACAAAGATGTGAAAGTCTTTTTATGACATCAAATATTACATCATGATTGAAATATTCTTAATTTTTTAAAGAAGTAAAATTATTTTCTTTTTTCTTTGGAATAATGTTTTCCTTTTTAAAAATGATTCAATGTTCAAGATTTTATGATCGATTTGAGTGGTGAGAAATATTTGAAACATGCTTTATGTATGTTTGTATATGAACAAATAAATAATTATTTTAAATTTTCAGATATCCTCTGGTAACAGAGATCATAAAAGCAGAAAAAGACAGCAAGGTAAAGCATCAGTTCATTGGTAAGGGTCAGTGTATGACATAGGGCTCCATTACATACAAGCAGTTGAGCTGCAATCTGATAATAATAAAATTACCTTGTTGAGTGAATGTCTGACTAGAGGGCTTTTTGGTAAAATACAAATTTTTCACACAGAAGATGATTTAAGTTGTCACAAATTTCAGCATCTTATCCAATAGATTGGAATTTTAAAAAAAGTTTCTATTTAGCATTTTCTAATTTATTTTTTTTTTTAATGAAAACAATTTATCCACATGAACAAAAAATGTTATTGAATTGTTATATTTCTGTTTTTCAGGTTCTGGAGGGATTTGCAGTTCTCCTTGTAACTGAGCTGTCTGATTCAAAGGTTAATTTTTCATTAATTCTGGTAAATGAAAAAAAAATGCATGTAAATCTTTGAATTAGTTGTAAATGCCTGAAAACAAATCTTGATATTTCTCTTGTGTACAGAATCAGTTTTATGGTGAAGCACAGACTGTCCTGAACATTGCTCTGCTCAGCTATATCACTCTCTTATCTGGCTGGTGATGGAAAGCAGGAATGGAGGACCTTATACCTGAATCTTTGTTTTGTCTTCTGCCCTACACCTTACTCAGGTTAGATAGAATAGAGGACTTATACCTGCATCTGTCTGACTTTTGTGTATTTCCCTACACCTTACTAAGATGACACATTGGGGACCTTATTTGATACCTGAATCTGTCTTTTGTCTTCTGCCTTTTGGTGGAAGTTGTTATTCTCTGGAACACTTACTTATCATGGCTATTTTTTTTTTTAATCACAGTCAGATAAGAAAATCTGTGTCAAATTTTGCTAAAAACATATTTTAACAGTTACGGAAATTAAAGTAAAATGATAATGAAATGTTTAATTTACATTTAAAAGACTAGTAAAATAATCCTTTTTGTACATTGTTTAAGGTTTCTTGAGAAAAGTCAGACTTCCCCCTGTCAAAGTGAATTGACCTATATATCATCAGTGTTACTGCTGTACAGAGATGTCCTCAGAAGTATGGAGGGACTACCAGGAGGCAGCTGTAAACAGGACCAGGTACACGTCAGCAGGATACATTAGTATCCAATCAAAATGTGTAAAATACATGGTACATTAGTATCCAATCAAAATGTGTAAAATACATGGTACATTAGTATCCAATCAAAATGTGTAAAATACATGGTACATTAGTATCCAATCAAAATATGTAAAATACATGGTACATAAGTATCCAATCAAAATATGTAAAATACATGGTACATTAGTATCCAATCAAAATGTGTAAAACACATGGTACGGGGATCAAGAGTGTCTCGATGTTTTTTGTCAGTTAAATAGTCCTTAGCTGGGACAGGGGCTCTGATGTTGGGATGAGACTCTTTTTTTTTCCAAATAGTAAAATTACATTTTTTTTAGTACTGGAATTTTGAGACATTTTTTTCTGCAACTGGACATCTTGCAGGCAAAGTACACAGAACAGGTATAAGTACCAAAGGTTTTTACTAGATTTGTTGAATTCATTGCATCCAGTCAAAGGATATTCAGGTTTTAGGGAAGAGCTCTTTTGAAATTTTTATGCCCTGCCATATATGGCCAAGGGAAGAGCTCTTTTGAAATTTTTATGAGCCATGAATGTGGCCAAGGCATATTGTGTTTGTCATGTCCGTCTTCTGTCCTTCTGTCTGTCCTTTCGTCACACTTTGCGTTTAGCTCTGTTCAAATCTCAATTTCAAAGAAACTATCCAAGATATTTTCATCAAACTTCATATGCTGATAGATATTGAGAGCTTTTCAACTGCATCAACATTTTTTACCTTGACCTTTCCTTTGACCTTAACCTCAGTTTTCTGTAATTAGTGTTTCACTCAGTTTTAAAGATACCAATTAAGATATTTTTATCAAACTTCATATGCTGATAGATATTGATGAGAGCTATGCAACTGCGTCAATTTTTTTTTACCTTGACCTTTCCTTTGACCTTGACCGAATTTTTCTAAATAAGTGACAAACTTTTTATGCTGATACATACAATTCAATACTGATGAGAGCTATTCAACTGCATCAGCATTTTTGACCTTAACCTTTAATTTGACCTTGACCTTCAAATTGTGTTTTAGTCAGTTTTAAAGAAATCATTCAACATTTTTTTATCAACCTTTATATGATGATACATATTGATGATAGATATGCAACTGCATCAACATTTTTGACCTTGACCTTTGCTTTGACCTTGACCTCACATTTTACTAAATTATTGTCAAACAGAATCATATGCTGATACATATTGATGTAAGCATTTCAACTGTATCAACATTTTTGACCTTAACCTTTCATTTGACCTTCACCTCACTTTATCAAATTGGTGTAATTCAGTTTTAAAGAAACCATTTATAATAATTTTTCAACTTATATGCTGATACATACTGATGAGAGCTTTTCAACTGCATCAACATTTTTTGACCTTGGCATTTTTGACCTTGACATCACTTTAAAAAATTAGTGTCAAACTTCATATGGTGATACATACTGATGTGAGCAATTCAAATGCATCACTATTCAAGATATTTTGATCAAATTTCATATACTTAAACAAATTTTCATGTTGCATCACTAATATACCCTTGGCGGGGCATTCATGTCCTATGGACATGTTTCTAGTTTTACTCTGAGATTGGTTACTTCCCTTTGATTATTCACCTATGCAAATTAAAGGGGATTTATTATACTCTGATAACCAATATGACCCTTGTGTGTTTTGTTAATTTAATTGATTTTATTTAATTTAGAATGAAATCCTGATTCATGATTGGACAGAGATCTCAGAATTTGTGAAAGGATGTTTAAAATCTGCAACTAAAGATCAGCTGAGAAATGTATCAAAGGTAAACTGGTGCATTTATAGCTGCAGATCTGTAGCGTATGGTTTTATATATATTGTCTTTGACCATAACGCTACACATCCCGTAATGCTAAAAAGGTGCAATTTACAACGCAATATTTTTTGCGCACTTTTGGGGAGAATTTCTCCACTTTGTAGCATTGGTCAATCAACTACCTTTCACTCCTTTATTCTAGACAATTTCTGTAATATATATGTATATTTTATCCACCTCCCAACCATTTATAGTTGTCTTTACAGGCAATAAACTCGCTTGAAGGGAATTTTCAGCAATCTGACAAATCATTTTAATCACGCGAGTTAATCACTTGTAGAGACGACTATAAAGGTTTGGGAGATGGATAAAATATACAGATTAGCTAAATAATATGCCTAGAATTAGGGAGTGAAAGGTATTTAATTGACCGTTGCTGGAAAATGGAGAAATTCTCCCAAAAAGTGCGCAAAAAATATTGCGCCATAAATTGCACCTTTTTTGCATTACGGGATCTGTAGCGTTATGGTCAAAGACAATATATATAAAACCATAACGCTACAGATCTGCAGCTAGTGCATTTGTTATGTCTGAATAGTGTGTGAGGTGAAAAGGGCAAAATATACATTAAAAATTAATGATTATTTTCACATCATGACCAATATGCCAGAGACACATTTTAGTTAATGGGATTAAAATTTCTCGTGTCGGCAGCTGAAAAAAAAAATCACAAAATTAGTATTAGACAAAGCAGTTGTGTTAGTTCATAGGAACATCCCTAACTTTTAAATGTTTGAATATTCATAAATTTACAAATCCTATAGCCAGCCGATCGAGTGCAGCACCGTAGTTTTATTTTTACTGTCAGCCTTCATTAACAAATGATCACCTGTTGGACAATGATCAAGGGTTGATCAATGTACTGAGTACTAATTAGTGATAATTTTGATTGAAGAAATAGGGCATGGCTACAGAAAAATGAAAATTGACTGTCAAAAAAAGGTCAAAATCATACAAGACTAAAGACAGTGATCTCCTCACTGTTTTCCTTTAATAGAATCCTAATTTTGTCTCAAAAACCATCAACCTTGGTAGATTTTGGAAATGTGATGTGTTTTATGATCTTAATTCATGATGAACAGACCATTTGTGAATTAGTAAATTATGGAATGATATGTTATGAACATAATGAATGACATTGTTTAATGCAAAGCAAATAGTGATTTTTGTGGAAATGTTCATTTTTTACATAATTCTAGTGTAGCCTTCAGAAAAAAAGCAATTATGATGTCATGATGGATCTAGTAAAACCCAGTCAACTTGTAGTATTTTTAGATTACCTGAGGCAAAGGCCTAACTGAACTTTTCTGAACAAAATGTGTTTGTTGTCTCCCATCAGCATTGTCATTGTTGTCATGAAATTTCACATTTTCGTCTTATCCAGAACCAGTGGACCAATTTCAAATAAGGGTGCTCCTCCAAGGGGAGATAATTATGAAATGCGGGAAAATTAATGGCATCATTGAAAAATTTTCTTCTCAAGAACCATTGGGCCAGGAAAGATTAAACTCATGTGGAATCATCCTCAGGTAGTGTAGATTCAAATTTGTTCTAATCATGACCCCAGGGGTAGGAATGGGCCACAACTGTCGATCAAAGATTTTTACATGGGATTATATAAAAAATCTTTTCAAGAACAGCAAAGCAATGGTTAGTCGTGTTTATCTGAAAGTATTCTCAGGGGGTGTAAATACAAGTTTGTTCAAATCATTACCCTCAGGTGTAGTGTGAACCACAAATAGATAATAGTTTAACATAGAACTATTTATTGGGAAAAAAAACTTGGAAGCATCCTCAGGTGAGTGATTTAGCTGCCCTTAGGATAGAGTCTATAGCATTATCTACAGATCAGCTGTCTCTCATGCTATAACAATGTTTTCTTCTGTTGTAGGAGGCGTTAAATGGATGTGGAGCAGATATCATTTTAGTGTACAAACAGGTTGTTTCAAGGTGACAATAAAGTCTTGCCTATACTTAATTCTCTTCACTTGAATTATGTTTAATAGATGTGAACTTGGATTTTAATATCAGATGCATTTTTGTGCATTGAAGCTGAAGGGGGGGGGGGGGGGGTTTTACATTACTTGAGTAATATTTGAATGTCTTTTCATCCATAACAAATGTATCCTTAAATAAATTTCAATAATTTTTTTTTCTACAGACATATTGCCAATTTCAATCAAACACTTTCTTTTTTACAAATGAAAGAATTTAATATACATTTTCTTTCTAAGAGAAAATCTATAAAATAATCAAGAGAAATTCAATGTTAATTTTAAGATTCGCAAATGAGCCATTAAATAAGATATTGGTGTTGCATTCCTCCTTAAGATCAAAGAGTGACAACTTCTATATACAGAATGACATTAGACTGAGAGGCAAAAAACAGAAGTACATTGTATTTTATGCTACATTATTTTTACTGGAAAAAAAGTTATTTTTTATTGCTGTAGTTATTATTTTGGGGGAAAACCCTCTTCTATGGGAGATAAAAAGAAAAGACAGAAATACTAGAGGTCGGGGGATTTAAAAACTTCTTCTCAAGAACCACTGGGCCAGAAAAATGAAACTTTTGTACATGTAAAAGCATCCTCATTTAGCTTAAATAGTTAAAAAATCATGACCCCTGGGGGTTGGTCAGGACCACAATAGGGAATCAAATTTTGGCAATAAAAAAAAGTTGGAAAAATCTTAAAATCCTCTACTTGAGAAATATTGGGTCTGAAAAGCTGAAACTTATGTGGAAGCATCCTAGAGTGTAGTAGAGACTCTAAAATGTTCAAATCATAGCCCCAGGGGTAGGGCGGTGCCACTAATGGTATTGCAATAGGGGAAAATCTGGTGAAGAACAGCATGACCAAAATTACTCAGGTGAGTGTTGTAGCTCATGGACCTCTTATTATATATTAGATGACACAGTACTATGTTCTCACAAATGAAGCATGTGAATGGTCATCATGCACACAAAAATAAACAAACCATGAAACAAACCCCATATTAATTCTCCTCCACGTGCCTCAAGTGTAGAAAAAAATATAACAATACAACAGTCATTTATTGATGTAAAAATGAACAAATATTTAAAATCTCCAACATTATTTTGCACAACCCTACATGTACGTTCAGTATGTTCTGTTTCTAAGCATTTTTGGTCTATTCACACTAGAAAAAAAGTCCCTAAAATTATTTTACTACCATTTATTTTGAAAGTTGTTGAATTAAAATAGGGTGACAGAAATGTTTCTTTATTTAGTAGTCGATATTGATAGTGTCCCTTGTAACTTCTGTATCTTCACATAGTAAACACATATCAAACAGGATGAAACTACATGTAGACTATTCAGTTCACTGAAACTTCATGAATGCCATTTGCCTTCTGATAACAGTTTAGCTTACTGAATGGAGCAGTTTCATCTTGTGATAGGGAATTTACAGGGAATTTACGGAGTATCTGTTTCACCGAGAAATTATTGAGCATCAACTTCAAATGCTTAGAATTGCTCACGCCTCCCAAAAAGGACTTTTTTGAAAGACAAGTCAGCAAAATATAAATTGTTTAATCTGAGTATCTTGCTATTTCTCACAATCAGTATCATCACTACTGTCGCTGTTCTTACAAATAATTTGGTCCTTGCTGGAGTCTATGGTTGGCTTTGCACTCTTGGTAGGAACAATCATTTCTTGTTGTTGTAATTTATACTCCAATAGCATGTGATTGATAGGAGCTAGTCCAATACAAGCTCTCAGGATATTCTCAATACAACACCGCTGTCGGAATAACGCGTTTATGACGGGGGTTCTTCTGGGAACCAAAGGGGCTTTACATAGGTAACTCAGTATGGATAATACAGAGTTAAACTTCTGAAAGTGAGCCTCGTTTTCGACTTTGTATTGGATTCTCTCGCAGAGCTCCGCCAGCACTATTAGGTCAATGATAAGAGGACTGGCTAGCAGGGAGTCCTCACACGTTGTCGAGTACGATCGTGTTGGTTCCACCCATCATGATCTCCGAGGTGTACTCGTCCATAGCCCGCTTACTGTCCCCCACGTGCGGCACGTATTTGATGACGACACAATGATCCGGAGTTTCCCCTTTGTCATATAAAATATTGTTGGATTCAACCATGTCATCCACAACATTACTTTTGGAAATCTGAAATATAAAATGAACATAGTTTATAAATTCAACTTGTGAGCACAAAAATCTGACGTAAGAAAATGAACGAATTTATATTGCTCTACGTTACTATACCCCCTGTACGAATTAGATAATATGAAGTAATAAAGTGAAAACAAATATGCGTAATTTTTCCAGTATTAAACCATGTGAAAAATAGTTTCGTTTTAAAAAATGTACCTCTTTTGAGCGGAAGGTTTGAGAGGAGCAGACAAGTTTTTCCGTCGTTGTTTCCCAGTGGTATTGGTTTGACGATAGACCTAGGTTTGATCCCCGCGCTAACAAGAAAGTCCACCAGGACAGACTTCAATTTTGTTTGTCCCGATTTAAAATCGTCACCTCCAATGAAGACCCCTTTTCTTTCGGCCAGTTCCAAACAACCTGGTACAAACGTATTCTGAGGAGATCCGTTAATGAAGGTTACCTGTGCAAGAAATGTTTACCATCGTGCAATCTTTCTGTCCTTAACCTTAGTTGTACCTCGTTTTGCAATGCCCGGGTTCTCTTATTTTGATGAAATAAAATGTCATCAACGATTTTTGTTTTGATTTTCTCAAGTATTGAAAAGAAGAATTTTATTTATTATGTTAATATATTCTTATGATATACATACACCTTCCAGAATGGATGCAACTGCAAACAAAGTTGAAGGCGAAACCTCGCTCTCATTTTCCCGAATACTTTTAATCAAGGTTTCTGACGTATCATTGACACCTGGTATTACTTCGGAAAACCTCTCCGTGTTTGCGGTCCACAAGACGATGACTTTGTCAACAGAACTCGATTTCTTGAATTCTCTGATGTCCTCGCGGATTTTTGTCATCATTTCTTGCTTGGTACCAGTTAATACATTGTCGGCCCGCTCTGCCTGATTAGCAGCTATGAATTCTGGGATATATATTGACGGGCGGGGCTTGAAATCCTCCATGTATGGTTTCAGTTGAGTTTGTAGATTGTAGTCCAGAACTCTTGCTCTCTCCATGGCATATTGCCAAATTCTTTGAGGAAATGTCCCATCCTAAAAGTATAATAAAGGTTACACAAATTGTACAGTTATGTCACTTTGAAATATAACGTCTATGAAACTGTGAGAACTTTTACTAAGGATTGTGAATGCAAGTTTTCTTCTTTGTTGTTTTCCCCTGTGAAACGTACCATCTAAAACAATATGGTTGGGTCAACCATGGGTGACCGAATTCATAGGTACGTAAACTTCACCCTGTGGACCGGTTCCTAGTAACACCGTACTAGCCTGAGTGATGGAACCAAAGTAATTCGCTCTGTTAAGTCCTTCTTTTGTAGGCCACTCCATCTTGTGCTTATTGGCCAAGATGGCCGCCGTCACTGTCGTTCCGTTGTTACCGCCCCAACCAACCAACATCACACCCAGTTTTGGAACCTTTCTGTGTGTTCGAAACAGATACTGGGTAGAGACGGGTGTGGCGGTGATTTTTCCTGTGCGTCCGTGTCCACTTCGTAGACTGGTACTCGTATTTGGATTGGATGAAATCAGCTGTGTCAGAACATAAGGGCTTCTCACTTCAACGCTTGCCATTTTGATCTGCTGCTGTAAATAGATCGTGCAACATATTTTTTTCTCCCATTTTCTAATGCTGATAGATCCACTGAATTAATGATGCATGTAATATTCTTAACTTTGAATCACAGGCACTTGTGCTTTGAATGTACCAAATTTTGGATATTTTTAAAAATGCATAGTTTGACTTTCTGTTTTAAAATGTAGAGTAGTATCTTTCGAGTTTCCAAAAAAAATATAGTTGAAAGATATTTTTATGCCATGATGTAATGATACATAGTGCATCGAAACTAATTATTCTAAAACCATAATGACCTTGATTTCATTGCAAAAATAATTTCCAAATATATCAAGTCTTTTTTATAAGTTTTACTATTTAAGCAGTTCTCACAAACCATCTTTAATTTTTTAATCTCGAAATTTCGGTCCAAAGATCAAGAAACAGACTTTGACCCAAGTCAAATTTTCAATCGCCTGTAAAACATTCGTTAGTAATTGAATTAATCTCAAAACTTTTGATTAAAGCTTAAGATGTTTCATGATCCTGGGGCCTTGATTTGTCCTGCACAATGGACGATTGCAGCATTCAAGTGTGTTCGATTGATTGACTTGAGGCTTTTCGCCGAATAAGCAGTATTTCAGCCAATTAAAGGAAGCTAATTTTGAAGGCTTGTACTCTGAACATTATATACTGGGGTAAATACTGTAACTTTAAATTACTTTTTATTCACGAAAACTTTATTTTTGCGTAATTAGGCAAGATAGTATCCTCGCAAAAATTACATTTTCGCGTATATTAGAATTTCTAACGAGTTTATAGAGCAATAAACAGGTACTTGGGTCTTGGTTTATGAATATGTATGTACTTTACTGATATGTACAAAAGTACTGTTTTTACATATCAATAAGGTACATACATATTTATAAACCAAGACCCAAGTACCTGTGAGCCAAAAAAATGTCTCGTTAATAGAGTCAACAATTAATATCTTGCGAAAATTAAGTAATCTATAGTATATGGATAAACATTTAGATATTTCCTACTTGTAAAATTTATTTAAAATAAAAAGATCAGTAACTCTAAATATCAAATTTAAAAAAAAAATGACGAAGCTATAACAAAAAATTCATTCCACAATTCCATACCGAATCAGTGCAAATCTTGCAACCTACCTCGGTTAAAAGATCCACAAAATAGATAAAGTTAAGGAATAGGCGAACAAGCATGTATCTGGTCAGATGCAACCTCTGGGGTAACTTTATA